AGCCATATTTAACAAACATGGTAAAGTAGCAGTGGGAGAACAGTTAGTCAGTATCAACTGCAGAGGAATGGCTGGAGGCCTGGAGAAAGCCTGGATGAGTTCATAGTCAATGGAAGTCAAGGCAGCAGACTGTTCCAAAAGAGAGTGTTGGATGACCTGAGTCAAAAGCTGCTAAGAGTTGGGACCGGCAGTTAGTGTAATGACTATGTCGCTGGACTCCCACATAGTCGACTGCAGTTCGCGTCCCGGACCCAGTGGCTTAAACTCATGCCAGGCGTGTGTGCGTGCGTGCCCACGATCCCGAGAGGAGAAAGGAGGAGAAGGGATTGTGGCGTGGCCATCTCCCCTGGGGGGTGATTTCTCCCTTTCGGTCTCTCTGTCTCTTTCTGTCTTCCTGGCAAGCGCACGTGCCCTGTAGCAAAAACCTCTCCAAAAAATACCTACAATGACTGTCCCTATTCTTAAAAAAAAAAAAAAAAAAAAAAAGCTGCTAAGAGGTGAAGTGAAGTGAGGAGGGAAAAGTACCCATGGATTAAGCCAAAAGGAAAAGAAAGTGGCTGGTAAACTTGAGGAGAGCAGCTTCATTTTAGTGAGAAGGCCATTGCTACACCTGTTCCCCTTTATCTTGTTGGCCCAGATGGGAGGGAATTTAATTAGGTAGTAGGCCTTCTGCAGTTGGTACATTCTGTGTTCAAAACTGTTGCAGGTGTATACTCTGTGTGCACGTAAACACATGCACACATGCAAGTATGTGCATTGCAGAGTGCAAAATATTAACAATGATTTTCTCTGCATGGTAGGTTATATCTAGATGGTAGGATAACGTGCAATTTTTGTTTGCTTCTCTAACCTTTTTTTATGTTGTACATGTTTTCTACATTAAACCTCTATTATTTTGTACTCATAAAAAACAATGAAATTGATTTTAGAAATTGACTTACATGGGGGATATAAGGCAGATATTAAAACTATGAAGCTGGGGTGATCTACCTATGAAGCAAATGTAAGTTCACCTTTATATTTGTATTAGTTTCTCCAGATGCTTTTTTCTGTCTTTCTTTCTCTTTCTTAACCATTGAAATTTCATATGCTTAGATACCAGGGAAGATTTTTGTCTGAATAAAAACAAGCTGCTTTTTGGAAACTGAAAGACATCTTCCAATTTTGGTTAATTAGTATATAGAAAATTCGACCTGGATTTAGATGCGCTTTGAGGACATACAAAAATTACCTTTTCATTGCCTATCTTCCCTATATGCAAAGTCGTAAATTAAAAATAGAAATTGCTAAGGTAGCATTTGTACAACTGAGTTTCAAAACAGGCAAAAGGGCAGAAAACAAAATGATCAGTTTGTATAATTGTTACCCTGTTTCATTTAGAATATTTAGGGGAAGTATACAACTGGCAGAGAGAAATACGTTTTGGGACCAGCGGAAAGAAACCATCTATTAGAATTAAAGTTCTTGGGGAATTACAGTGGTAGCACATTCAGTTTGTAGAACACGAGCCATTAGGACCCGCTGGCTTAATGCCTGATGATGCCCGACATCTCCTCTCACCCCAACTCTCCAGCAAACTCTCAAGGCGAGATGACAACTGAGGGGCCTGTTATGAGTAAGTATGTGTAATGGTTGATGATGAGGTTTGAATGTGCCCTTTCCAAACGAATGCCTTGAAATTTAATTGTATCATGGAGGTATTAAGAGGGTGGTAACTTAATTCATGGATGGTGTTGAAAAGTTGGGGTCTTCAGGATGTGATTAGCATTAGTCATCAGGGTGAGGGTCTCACAATTGAATTCTGGCTGCTTTAGAAGAGCGCAGAAACACAGAAGCACAGATACAGATGGACACACAGAAGTCCTTGTCATGTGATGCCCTGCACTGCCTCAGTACTCTGCAGGGAGTTCCCATGAAAAAAAAAAAAAAAAAAGACCCTCATTGAAAGACCTCTTGTAACTCCAAAATGTGAGCTAAGCAAACCTCTAATTGTTATAAACTGGAAAAGCAGACTAAAATAATTGAGAAGCCTCTTAATCTACAGCTGGTGAATCACAATATCTCGTTTTCGACACAGCTTTCTGTATTTAAAGGAAACAAAATCCTGGTAGGAGAATCTGGAAGTTTCTCTTTACCTTGTGGGAATTGCTTTTATCTTAAGGTTTGTTTTGGTTTGGTTCTTCCCCCCTCCCATTCCACCCCACCCCACTCCGTCTTCCTGGTGCTGGCCAGAAGTTTAATTAATTCAAGTCTCACCCTCCTTCCTTTGGAAATCCAAGATAGTAATGAGATGTGCTTTCTGTTTTCTATTTGTCTTACACAACGTTGTATTCATTTTTTTCATGGAGACCCAACGCATCAAGATGATGATGAAGAAGAAATAAATTAATGATGATCTGCAGAAGAACTCTGAAGCTGGTCAGTTCTGAGTTCAAATTGTGATTCTGCTACTCAGCTGAGTGAACGAGCCTCCCTGAACCTCCTAATCCTAAAGTTTGACCAGGGCTGATAAATGTGCATCACAGGGGTTTGTAAACTTTTAGCAAGATTTTAGCCCATGACCATATTCCCTACGAGCCAGCAGTGCCTATGATTGCTGTCCCTGGATAGGCTCAGATGCGAACCCACTCAGTTCTCCAACAATGAGGGAGTGTTCTCTCTTCTTCATCATAGCACAGACTTCTTAAGGATGGAGCAGAGGGCCATCCAGGAGCTTCGTTTGTTAAGGCCAGAAGACATTTGATTTGGCCTTACTCCTATTTTTAGGGCTTATCCTTTCCTACTATATTTTAGGAGGTATTGTCATGATTTCTACATAAATTGTCACACATAGTATATAAATGACTAGAGGTTAAAACTTTAGTTTTAGTTTTGGGATTACCAGGAATAAACTTGATAATAGAGACTGAAGCATTTTGTTCCTTGCTAAATGTGATCTCACAGATTTTTTAGAAAGGAAAAGGCATTTTTTCACTGTGACTCTAGATCTTTTAAAAGAGGAAAATGCCTTGTACTCCATTGTTAAATTCTCCCATAATAGCATAGCCTTAGTGCTTAAACCATGTATTTCAAGACTATGTTATAATATGAAATAAACATGTTGGGAGCAAGAACGTCATACCTCCTTATCTGTTCAACGCAGAGGACAGAATCCTTTATGCTCCTACTCAACTCCAAGTAGGCATCTGTATGTATTGCTGGATGAACATTGAATTTTGAAGGAAAATATGGCTGAATGGACCCTTCCCAGGCCAGCATGTGCTTCATCGTGTCTGGACAACATATGAAAGACTTTCTTTAATCTCCACGTGAAGCTATTTTCCTTTTCCTTCCCTCCTTACTCTTTCTCCCCTTGTAGGTAAAGGTTGTTTCCCAATATGGGAAAGGTCTTTGAGGCAAAAGGATTATCATTTATTTCTCATTAATTAAAGTGGCAGAATCAGAGAGGACTAGCTCTTCCTTTGAAGTAGATCAGTTCTTTTAAGTTAGATCAGATTTCACATCAATTAAAGGCACCATCAGCAAGCATACCTGTGGAAATGCAACTCTTTAAAAATATTCAAGGGTTTGGATGATAGATGAGAGATTTTTCTTGGGGTAGGGGGTTTCCTAATTTTTCTTTTATTTGAAGAGTTCCTGGTGGGATACTGGAGTGGAATTCATGTTTTAGTCTTCTTCTCATTAGGCAAATGGTATTTTTCTATGTTTAAATTCAGCAAAAACTAAGGATAATGAGAACAACAAAAATCCCTTCTCCCATGTGAGTCTGTATCCAGAAAATAAATAGTATTCTTTTATTTGACTCAACATTTTTAAAATTCATAAAAATTCATAAAAATTTTTAAACTTCTTGAATGGTCCTTCAGTATATTAAAGGTTTCTTATTTTCACTTGCAGCTCTTTATTTTACTGCATGTCAATGACATTAAGATTACTTTTTTTGTATTTTCCCAGCACTAAGGACCCACTAAAGGTCCTCCTAATTGCTACTGCCTGGGGAGGTCCTTCTTAGCCTGCACTGGCTCCCTAAGAGCTCTTTTCTTTTTGGTGGGTCCAGGGGACCAAGCTCTTCTCACATTAAGGATGCTACTACGATGGAGTGCTACAAAACTGGCAAATTACTGCTTCCTAGAGGATAGTTCCATGGTTTTGATGCCTTCTGTTACAGCTATTAGGTCGTCGGTTTCTGCTGGTATTTCTGAAAGAGACACTCAACATACCCACTTTTTCCTAACCACTGTTTTTTTCTATCTACTCATCCATTCATTAATCATTTATTTTAAGAGCAAGAGGAAGAGAGAAAGACAAGCATTCTCAACAGAGTTTCATGCCATGGCCCCCTACCCTCATTCCCCACCAAGCTTTTTTAGTCTGCGAAGATCATGGGTACACATGCACATGGCTGGCATACAGAAGTCAATAATCAGAACTCTGTATTCCATATGACTTCTGGCACTGCAGGGCATTGTGCCAATGCTGCACATCCATGGCTGGGCCTATCCAGTGACTTATCTTGGTGAAAGTCATGTGGGCCCACCTGGGCCCACTCCTCCTCTAGACATAAACACCTTTTGTAGAAGGGGCTTTCTCTTGAGTGTTATACCACTGAAGTCCTTCAACCTGCTACTCCCAATTGCCTAAGACTGTCCTACGAAAGTGATCCACTGTGACTTTTCTTTTTTTTTTTTTTTGGAGAAGTTTTTGCTATAGGGCACGTGCACTCGCCAGACAGAGAGAGAGAAAGTGAGAAATCACCTCCCAGGAGGGATGGCCATGCCGCAATCCCTTCTCCTCCATTCTCCTCTTGGGATCTTGGGCATGCATGCACACGCGCCTGGCGTGAGGTTAAGCCACCAGGTCCGGGACTCGAACCACGGTCGACTATGTAGGAGTCCAGCGACATAGCCATTATGCTAACTTCTTATCCCAGATCCACTATGACTTTTTGCTGCTCACTGCACTCCTTAGCCCATAGAACCCTCATTAAAATAATCATAACCGTGCTTGCTTTGGTACCACATATACTAAAACTAGAATAATACAGAGATTAGTGTGGCCCCTGTGCAAGGATGACACACAAATTTGTGAAGTGTTCCATGTTTTTTGCTTGTTTTTGTTTTTTTCTCTCTTTCTGGGTGAGCACATGTACCCTAGGGCAAATTAAAAAATAATAATACTAAATAAAATTAAATAGATAATTCTTTAAAAAATAATCATGACAACAGTACTCTTGTGTTTTGGTTCTTTCTTTGAAACTGTGGCAGAGTTCTCAATTTTTTCTTTTTTTTTGTTTTCTAATTGCCAGAGGCCATATGTACTTGCCAGAAAGAGGAAGACAGAGATAGAAACAGAGAGGGAGAAAACACTCGCCAGTGGAGCATGGTTGTGCCATAATCCCTTCTTTTTCATTTCCCTATCTTCAGAATTTGGGGCGCACACACACATGTACCTGGCAAGTTTTTCAAGCCACCAGGATTGGGATTCAAACCTCAGTCAGACATGTGAGATCTGATTTCCTTAGTCACTAGGTTAGGATAATGATCCGACTCCTAGATTTTTGAAAAGTCATTTATTCTACGTATTTCAAACATCTTCTCAAATCTTTTTTTTTTTTTTTTTGTAGAGGTTTTTGCTATAGGGTGCGTGTGCTCTCCAGACAGACAGAGAGAGATAGAGAGATAGAAAGCGAGAAATCACCCCCCGGGGGGATGGCCACGCTGCAATCCCTTCTCCTCCATTCTCCTCTCGGGATCTTGGGCACGCACACACACGCCCAGCGTGAGTTCAAGCCACCGGGTCCGGGACACGAACCGTGGTCGACTATGTGGGAGTTTAGCGACATAGCCATTACACTAACTGCTGGTCCCTTTCTTCTCAAATCTTTAATGGGAAAAATGTTAAAAACGTTTCACATTCTATGTATGTAGTACCATTCTGTATCGTTTGTAATTCAGACAAACTCTTCTGCTACCTGGCCTTGTCTATTCATAGTATTCTCAATGACATCCAGCTTCTGGTCAAATAAAATCCGAAGGAGAGAGCTGTGGTCCAGGGAAGGTTGCTACTGCTAGCAGTCTGCCTCTATAGCTTGTGTGAGATGAACTACGGAGTAAAGGAAGCCATTCATGTGTCTGAGCGG